CGTTTCAATGAGAACCCCCCGTATCGGACAAGTATCGCCGCAATTTCAGCATCCAATCTCTCAACACACACGCTGGTGAAAATTGAATGAGTCAGACTGGGTACCTGGTCACGAGGGCATCATCTACACGTCTGGATGGACATGCGACTACGAAATCTCCCGGCTGTGCTGCAGCTAAGATTTCCTTCACATCGTCAACTGAGCGGTCATCGCAAGCCCGCCGCAGAGCAAAAGAGGACATGTAGCTGGCATACACGATGGAGAGAGAGGTAGAACGATAACGACAACCAAACATCAAATAATCGTCAGAGCCCGCCGCATTCCTGTTGTTAGTACACACTGTTACCTACCAGTCTTGCCAAGCAATAGGATCCTCGGCTTTTAGTCCTTCGATTCTATACTCTTCAGCCTGCGCGTCAGGGAAAGACAATACCTTACTGGGGGGCAGCGAGCATGGGCCTGACAGAGTCAATGCATGTCATCGCAAAATGCTCCTCAGAGAAATCTCACGCTCATTTTTCGTGTCGAAATCGGACGTCTCAATAGAGATCTCCGTACCAATCCTCAATGACGGCTGAGTAACCATTAGCGTCGTCTGTCTTAAAATGCACTGTAAGTTCGCACGATTGGTACCAGCATAAAGCTTCAAGCTTCAAGCTCGACAGATCACTAAATCAGTGTCACTGATGGGCTGGGAACAAAGGTATTATCAACGTGACGGCCATGACTATGAAATTTTGCTTGTGCCGTTCGGAGTAGTGCCAGCTGGATCGGCTTTTCGTCGTCTTCCTATCAGAATTCTGAGGAAAGTAACTCTTTGACAGAGCACCTCGGTTGCAAGCCTCGTCTTCGGATATTCGGAGTAGTGGCCGATTATGAATTTGTAATCCCTGCTGGTTGTTGCCGCGAGACTGGGCACTTTTCCTCATCTGTTGTCTCCTGTTATTGTTTCCCTGAGGGAAATTACCTTGGTCAGGATGGGTCTTTCATGACAAATGTGTAACCTGGCGACTCTCCACTTCTTTTCGTCATTTTTGATATAACAATCAATAGTGCCAAAACTGGCGTAGGGTTGTCTGCTGGTGAAGTTTCGCCTATCCTTTCCGATTCGAATTCCTTTGTCGATCTTATTCGAAGACCAAATACTACACCTCTCCGTACTGTTCAATCTCTGGCAGACAAATTAACTCGCCTGTGGATCAGTTGTACTGGTGCAAAGTCGTGCTCATCCCCGATGTGTGATGAGATGATGTTAATATCGTCTTTTGTGTAGTTAACATCTTAGCGTAAGCTAGTAATCCTCGAAGTTACTATACTCATAGTTATGAGACCAGATTGAAGACTGAGTGTTCTCAGCGACTCTGCATGAGCTGAATTGTGAAGATTGACACTATTCACTACAGAGGTACTCTATTGCTAGCTTGACGAAGGGTGAAGGGCCGTGATCGGTCACATTATGTCCGAACTCGGATATCTTCTTGGCTCCCTGCTGGTGGTCTAAAATGAGCTCATCCTACTCTTCAATGCCCGTGACCACCTTCGTCGCGCAATGCCACACTACTACAGCATTTCCAGGTCAATTCAATATTTTACCCGAATTTTTAATAGTTTAACCACTTCTTTTGAAAAAAATACCCTTTTTTTTAATCTTTTACCGACTGATTTTAACTCACTACCCAAAATTGCAATATAATAGCTAGTCTTTTTAAAAACATACCCAATTCAATTAACAACGTTAGTTTTATCTACTAGAAATCGTAGCATTATCCCAACTCGAAGTCTTGCAGCGGTCGAGCACGGTTAAGCGCTCGAAAGAACTACATCCTCCCTTCAAAGCACCAACAGGGATCACTGCTGTTATGCGTACCTACAAGATAGGGAGCTCGGAGTCACCGTAAAGTGATGCGAATACTACCTGTAGTTCGGAGCAAAGCGATACGCCTTCTTGATCTGAGGGCCTCCAATATAAGTGAGACCCTCATTGAACTTATATTGATCCCATTGACAATGACGCCACTCTGAAAGAAGGATCACTACCATCATCCTCGATAGAATTCTACCATCATTCCACTTGAAGCATTTGGTCGCAGCCTCCTCAGTCTCAATGTCGGCCTGCGCCGTCAACAAACAACGGTACTCCTCTATCGCCAAGTACCTTCAGTACCCCTTCCAAAACGACCCTTTGTACATGACCAAGACTCACTTGCACGCATCGTCAGGATCAGACTGATGGATTCTCTTGGCATATTCAGCCGTTGCTTCGCGAATCTCGTTGGATGTGCGTGGTTCAGCCTCATTCGGAACCAGACCTGCACTTTCAACAGTGTTGGAATATACGTTTGCTTCCCTGAGCTCAGTGAGCTGAGCTTAGGAATTTCCTCACTGATCATAAAATCCGGATAGGAGTATACAGAAATGTACAGTAACCCGAATGTCTCGACAATCGAAGGAGCTGGCTGTCAGCTATCGTATCGGAGCATTGCGAATCTCGTCCTAGCACCGGAGAAGTTCAAGAAACTGTATGTCAACCTGGAAGAGTTCAAGATCAAATGCACTGATCAATTGAGTGTACTTGGTGCTGTAATCGACGGCAAGCGCAATCATGACGCTCATATTAGTAGGCGCATGCAACTCGCCGGACAAAGAATGGCCACACTCCAGAAAATCTGAAACTCGCATGATATAAGCTTGAGGCAGAAGTTTTTTATCCTCCGAAGTGTGGTATTCTCGATAATATTATACTGTATAATTTATACACCAGTGAGTGCTTTGCCCTTAGCAAGAATGAGATGGAGAGATACTGTGCGTGTTTTACAACAAGTGCATACGGAGGGCGTTGCAAGTATCGCCATTGGCGCACACCACGAACCGCGAAATTTGGAGTAGGTCTGGTTGCACTGACTGTCACATAGTCCTGGGAATGCGTCGCTTGCGATAGTGCGGCCACAACCTTAGAACTCCCCCCGCATCTTTGGTGAACAGACTACTTTTGTGAGATCGTTTGGGCATATCATTTGGGAGCTCAGATAAGCGCTAGGATGAGAGAAGGTTGGATACTATCCAACCTTCTCTATCCAATGGATAGATCTCATTGCAGAGGATTCGAGGGAGACTAATTTGTCGCGAGGAAATGCTCTGGACCGACTCTTGTGGGAGAGATGGACTAAAGCCCTGCGACCGAAATAAGCTTGGAGAGAAAAACTCAGTCAAGTGCTAGTCTCCTTGCGCCGAGTAAGTCGATCATATAAACATCCAACTTGCTACTAGCTGCCGGTTTGTCGCCTGGCCGGAAACGGCCGAGAGCGACAGAGAGAGAAGGGGAAAGGTCGAGCTGATGACTCAAATCACTGCTTCGAGGCGTCAGCTTTGAAAGTGTGCTTCAAGCAGCACACTGCTCACACGATGCTGTCGCGTGAGCCGGCGGCAGCATTGGCCTGCTTTGGGTGCAGGCCAATACCGACGACAAACATGGAGGACTTTTCGTTTACACGTGAGGATTATACTAAAGTTCTTCACCGAAATCGGGCTTGGGGCAGTCATCTGAGTGTGCCAGGCTGGCACTGCCAGCCCACATGGCACGACAGGTGAATCTTTCGGCAGGCGTTTCCCACTTGAGATGGGTCCTCCTCGGCCGCTGAGCACTAAAACTAAGTAACGATTAATTCTAATCCCATGCTTTGACTTTGCGAGCCCTGTGTAGCACGCAATCCATGGTGGTAAAACAGTTGTACGGGCATGCACGTGATGCCACATTTTCTTTTGTCAACCTTCTTCCCAAAATATTTCCCTGGACTTTCCCTCAGACATTTTATTCAGCATTGTCTAACTCACCTATGCCACACTTACACCAGGATAGAGGAAGGATCAAATTGACCGGCTTATCGGCAATTCAATGATAGATCACTTGAACCCAGCAACGGACAGTATCACGATTCCTTGATAGCAGCACAGGGTAAGCACAAAGCGGCGAAGGTGCCGCGCATAACGGCCAAGCGACAGAAGCGGCGTGCAAGGTACTGAGATTCAATGCAGACTTGGAGAGATTTACTCTCCTTAGTGAAATTCCAACTGCTATGTTCTTGGTTGTTGTTACTCTGCAACTCATAGCTGTGGGCCACGGAGCATCCGTTGAGGTGGAGAAGGCCTTCCAGGAGTTCATGAGGACGTGAGTTCGCTCGTCATCTGGAGTCAAACCTCAGGCTGAACTTGACTCAGTTACGATAAGAGATACGACACGGATGAGCAGTATCAAGTAGCCAAGGATGCTTTCGAGAACACTATGAGAGAGATTGAAACTCTGCGAGCCAACAGTAAGCAATTCCGGGCTGCTGTTAGAATTAATCTTCGCCCAGATCATGTTAATGCTAGCAGTTAGTGTTACTGCTAAATCTGAGTAAGTAATTCAGTGCTATATCTCAGGCAATGTGACGCATGAAGTCGGTCTCAATGAATATGCCGATTTACCGAAAGAAGTCTTTAATGACATCTTGAAGTGCGACTTTGCTCCAAAACTACATACACCGATGATCCGAGCAACAGCCATTCCCACTGGTGAGACTCGGTTTATCTAACAGATACGACTATTCCTCTTTAGTCCCGCAGGATTCCTTTGAGGTAGGAGATTATCCTCCATCGGTAGACTGGGAAGCTGCAGGCGCTCTGGCACCCGTAAGACGCCAATCGGGTGACGTAAAGAAATGTGGAAGCTGCTACGCAATTGGGGCCGCTGGTAGCAATGCGATGGCATTCTTCCTCCATGATACACTTACCTAGCGGTTCGTAGCATGCGTATTCCAGTTCTTACACCGCTCGTCTTTCTCAGTCGTTATGGAGAGTCGTTTCAAGATCGAACTCTCACAGCCTAGAGTCGTACCTTTCTCCGTTCAACAGTTGGTTGACTGCAGTACAACATACGGCAATCGGTGAGTTTCATGGTTCGGCCCGAGATCTATTTCGCCTGTCCCATCGAAGCCTCCATCAAGCCACTTCTGCGTCTCTCATTCTATGAGTATCCTTCGAGTTGACGGGTCTACTGATGGCGTCAGTTGTAGATCCGTCTTTCTAACACTCACTGTATCCCTTATTGCAAAGCTCTTCGATATATGAGGAAGGAATTACGATTGAATTATATTTTTGGGACCTTCCGAAGATCATCTTCGTCGTCTTCCCGATGTAACTCTGTTGCAGGGGCTGCGATGGAGGGCGAGCTCAAGAGGCGTTTGCGTACTCGAAGGCGGAGGGCATTGTGAAGGAGTCCAGCTATCAGTATATGTTCGAGGAAGGCCCATGCAAGGAGAGTGTCGTTAAGAATCCCGATGATCAATGCATTAGAGTGAATCCTCTAGCGGCTTATCAAGATAGTTGTATTTGTGATAATCACTTCAGCCAGGCGACATAGTGCATCTTGCCTCCATACCGAAGGCGAATGAGGAGGCGATGTTAAATGCCGTGGCGAGGGGACCTGTGGCTGTCACTTTATATGGGGCTCCGGCATTTGATAACTACAAAGATGGTATCATGAGAGGTAGCCCCACTGGTTTGTCTCACAACTTGTGAGTCATCGTGTCGTCGAATCTCACCATCATCTTGGCAGTTGCCGCCTGTGATCAGAAGAAAGTGGACCACACGGTGGTCATTGTCGGTTACAACACCTCAGCAGATGGGATACGGTAACGCAGGTTTGCACGGCTCTCTAGCTTTCTATCCTCACTCTATTCCTTAGTTATTGGAAGATAATGAATAGTTGGGGAGAGTCTTGGGGAATGAAAGGTTTTGGTTATGTTGAGCGAACAGGAGATAAACCAGGTACAGTGTTGGCCTGCAGCTCTTCAGCTTTGTGGTCATCGAAGTTTTGCCTCATGCATGTCAACTTGCAACTCACTGTAAGTTACTCACACAGTTCCAGTAGGTCCGTGCAACATTCTCTCTGAGAGCCATCAATATCCTCGTTTTGTGGCTACGATAAGGAGCTCTCCGTGTATCGGACTTTGAAGGATTCTCACCGAGAACTTCTCGGCGAGAAAGGCAATTCAATCAGAAGCCGAATCCTGAGGCAGAATTTTTCAACCCTTTTTCGACTTTTCATACTAACGCTTTATTGACACGAATACATCATCCGATTTTGACAATACCGCAGTATAACCGCTTACTGGTTAATCATATTAACTCAATATGCGCCAAACGAGTTCACGTGGTATGCGACTTCTGAGTCTCTTCCAGCGTGAGGCAGCTATTGGAAGTCTTATCTGAAATTGCCCTGTCGTGTTCCACACAGTGCTAAAGAACTGCATGTTATTACGGGATTATAGTCCTGCTGAGCCGTCACTCCCGTATAGCTCATGGCATGAGCCTCATGCCAAAGGATGCGTAAGGTACACAGTCATCGAGCGTGCAGGAGAGAAGGGTCTGGGGGTCTTCTCCTTCACGGCCAATACAGCGAAAGATCGTGGCGGATCGCAGTAGGTAGCGTCAGTCAGCAGTAGTGAATCTCCGGGGTTCTTCTGGACCTGCGGCATATCGGTAGATAATCTACCAGTATCTACCGTAGATACGCCTGGTCGAAAGGGTGCTGCTCGAAAAAGAAGATGAACCTATAGCGCCTAACCGACTTCGACAGAAAATCCCGCACGGTTAGTAACTACGTCGCGGCGATCGCACTCAGGATTCCCGTCAGTGGCAAAAATCGGGACCGCGTTTGGCCGCAGAAAACTGCACGGTATTCGCAGCTCATTGCAGTACTTTTGCTTGAACGTCAACATAGTCTGGGTCCTTGTTTTTGTCGTCATCGTCGTCGTCATTGTCATAGTTACCGTTTCCAGCATCATTGTTGGTGGCGTCGGTATGTGGAGACTCCAATACCGTAGCAGGGAGTAGGGGGGTAGTATGAACAGCAGTAGTTGTAGTACTTCTACGGCGACGCTTCTTAGGAGGTGTAAAGAAAGTGCAAGGTGGAAATGATCCCAAACTTGAACTTGCATCTGGAATACCGCGTGCCTCAACAGCGAGAGTAGACGTAGTAGACGTGGTAGTCGTAGCAGCAGTTGCAAAAGAACTCTTCGGAGCAGAGGGGCTCACGGACATCGCTGTTGGAGACAAGTAGTTGCTGTCGTTTTCGTTTTCGTCCTCGTCCTCGTCGCATTCGTCGTCGTCAATATCATCATCATCATCATCATCATCATCATCAACAACAACAGTGGGGGGATTTCGGCATCTGAGATACTAGGCAATTTAACAAAGGAATAAAAGTCGAACAGTAGTGAGAATATCTTGATACAATGTAAAGTTCTTACCGTATCCAGCAGGACTTCCCATTCGGGTTCGGGTTCCGCCACAGATACCGATGATTGAGATGATGAGACCGAAGTGATGGCTGCATCCCCTAAACGAGGAAGGTTACAAGTGAGTAAGGATGATGATGACGACGACGGTGAACAGGGGGATGGTGAAGATGCTACCGATTGACGACATGGGGATGATGATGATGAGTAGGAGCCTCCTACTAGGAGGGAGTGTAGCTCGAACTCGAACGCCTTCTACTTCGCACTCTACGACCAGATAAGCAAGCAGCCGAACCAGGTGGGGAGAAGCCCGAACCACCACTGTTAGTAGTTGCTGAGTAGTTCCGTTGCTGAGCACCGGGCATTGCCCGGTGCTTGCCCATTGCCCATTGCCCGGCGGGCAACAATCACCCAAGCTTCTCCTCCAACCAAACCCGAATGACAACGAAGGACTACGCAACTACACACACGCACATAGTCTAACTACAGTCGTCATAAACTGTTGAGTGTTGGTGGGTAATTCCACTTATTGAGTTAACACAAGACAGACTTGATTAGCCTGATTCTAACTTTTAACTTACAATTACAGTTCCAACACTAGCTCAACGCTAGATATCTTAGCTAACACAAGGGGGAGCGACTCCATACTATGGAGTCCATAGGGACAGTAGTCATACAACCTTCTTCACAATAGACCTGATAGGCCATGTATGACGTGTCGTCTATCATGTGAGTCAGCATCATACGCAATTGATCCACCAAAAACCGTCAAGGAATGTGAACGTACAACACAGTAATATTACTATTGTTGGGAGCCCGAGCCCGATGAAAGCAATAACTGACACCAAATACTACCGGGAATGACTGGATACTATCTAAAGCATCATAGTTGGTGCTGCCACACACAGTAGACACATCAACGAGAGGATCAAACGTATAGCGTGGCCCTCTGTGGGCGAGATAAGCATCGTAAGGCCAACGAGAGTAAGTCATGGCCGGGAGTGAAGGGGAGTCGTACTTCGGGCTCGACGAGGAGGAAGCACCGGACGCTCAAATGTATTGCTCATTGTTGGCGGCATCGCGCTTAGTAGGAGTGCGAAAATAACCTGACAGTAATTCACAAGATGAATCCCTCAACAGTAACATTCGTAACACAACCTGAACCCGAGCACAAGCATAGCACCAGAACCCGAAAAGTCACTTTGGTAGCTCCTAGTGGGCAGCTGAGAAGCGTCGGCTGAGAGTATATTGCGAAAATCTTCGCTAAAGAACCGAAAAGATATACAGGAACATCGAGTAGGGCGAGGAACTCGTTGAATCGTCACGAAGAGGTGAAAATCTGCTGTATGCGCACAGAAACCCTCATATTCGGGATAAGAACTCTGAAACATACAAACGGAATCATTAGTGATCCCAATATATCTAGAAGCTGGAACAAACCGAGAGAAACCCAATCACGAACCCGAACTACTAAATAGTGCTTGTTCCTCATCATTAATGGTGAAGCGAGGCTGAGCAGGCAGCATCCCACAGAGATCCACACCGCGCAGAGCATTATCAACCACAGATGTGTGGAGCTGATCCCCGGTCACCACCTCAGGTAAGCAACCACTACACTGAGATTCACTACCGTTAACAGAGCTAACATAGGCACGTATTTCCTCGTCAAGGATTTGGGGGAAATCATTATCAATGAAAGAGAATACCCGTGAAATACCCTCATATGTGGTAGAGAAACACGCCATTAAGTAGAGACCCAAGACCGTAGTCTGACAGTACGGAGAGGCGAAATGAGGAAGATAGGAAGCAGGGGAATGAAAGTTACGCGACATCACACTAAAACGAAAACGACACTATACAAACATCAACACTCCACAAACATTTATCCAACACTAATAAAACACTATTAAGTTGTAGAAAAACTCCGCAACATTACCTCACATATCTGACAACAAAAAATGCCATCAGATGTACAATAAAAGTCCGCAACGTATCAATCCCGGTAAAACTCCGCCGGACAAATCACACTCTCACCAGTAGTAGAAGCAGACGACATACATCCCGAGCAAATTTCCCTCGGTTTAGATTGGGGACCCACCATTTCAACTTGAGGTCAAAAGGTGTAGAAATCGTAACATCATCCCAAGTCGAAAAACCTGTGGGAACCGAGCATAGTTGAGCGCTCGGAGGCACTATCAGTGTTGGAATTTATGATCGCTTACCTCAGCTGAGCTCAGGAATTTCTTTACTAATTGCAGAACTTGGATAGAAGCATACAGAAACCAACAAGAGTTTCCCAAATTTCGGGAATTTTGGGCCCCGAAATTTCCTCGTAACTTTCATGTTATCACCAACACATTTAGTTTACCGTGAGCATATTTTTCCCGAAACTGGGACCTACTACTACCTCTGCGATTGATTCTTAAAGACCCGTCGGGAGATTCGATGAAGTACCTGCTTCTCAGGCGGAGATCTGACGCAAGTCTGCCAGGCTTCATCTGGTATCAAATTCGAAACCAGATTATCGGTCCACACCGCTCTCAACAGACTTGACGACTATAAAACTCAAACACCAATTATCAGCCACGAAGAAACGGTAGGCCGCGGCACTTCCACTATCACACGGCACACATCCTCCTTTCAAAGCACCAACAGGAATCACTGCTATTACGCGTACCTGAAAATAGTGACATCATGTTGACTAGGAGTCACCGCATAGTCGTAAGAGTACTACTTGTAGTTCGGGGCGAAGCGATACGCCTTCTTGATCTGAGGGCCTTCAATATAAGTGAGACCCTCATTGAACTTGTATTGATCCCATTGACAACGACGCCACTCTGAAAGAAGGTTCTCTACCATCATCCTCGATAGAACTCTACCATCATTCCACTTGAAACATTTGGTCGCAGCCTCCTCAGTCTCAATGTCGGCCTGCGCCGTCAACAAACAACGGTACTCCTCTATCGCCAAGTACCTACAGTACCCCTTCCAAAACGACCCTTTGTGCACGACCAAGACTCACTTGCACGCATCGTCAGGATCAGACTGATGGATTCTCTTGGCATAATCAGCCGTTGCTTCGCGAATCTCGTTGGATGTGCGTGGTTCAGCCTCATTCGGAACCAGACCTGCGTTTCCAACAGTGTTGGAATATACGTTCGCTTTCTTGAGCTGAGCTTAGCAAGTTCCTCAGTTATAAAATTCGGATAGAAGTATGCAGAAACCATTCCAACACATGTAGTTAAGCATGTGCATACTTTCCCACACAGGTTTCCAGTACTCTCCCATTAGCATGCACCCTTCCCACTCACCGTAATGCTTGCCAACTTCCTTCTCCCATTCCGACCCGAACGTGTGTGGCTGAGGCTTCGGTGGAGCTGGTGCCGGGGGCTCTGGACCACCCCAAATCTAAGCACGTGTGTAGCAGCATGTACCCATCTGCTACGACTACCTCCCCTAACCCGCATTCCTTGATAATCTCATAGTTTTTCTCCGCCTCAGTCTTCGGCACAGCCTCGTACACTCGGTACCTTTGTTACCACGCTTGTTAACCCTCACCCGAGCCAGAACCTACCAAGTGTCCGGGTCGTAGCCCATCGCAGCGTCCGAGAACTCCTTGGTCCCTGTCTTTGCCTCCGGCTCGGGCTTGGTTTCACACTGAGCTCTGTTAGGAGAGAAAAGTCGATGGATCAAACTGCTCACCATAGAGATGGATTAAAAACGTCGCTACAATGTACGAAAATGTGCACATGGTCAACTACATGTGTTGGTGACAAAACGGAAATTCTGGGAAGTTTGTAGTGCTTCTGTACACTTCTACCCGAATTCGCGTGAAATTCATGTACTAAGTGAGGAAACTCTTGAGCTCAGCCGAGGGTAGAGAGCATTTATTCCAAATCTATATCCCTACGGCAGAGTGAGAGAGAATTGGATGTCACGGTGACGAACAAAGGTAGTGTGTTCAGTCCCCCTTCAAGATTCCTGGGAATTGTCAGTATTGGATTAAATGCTCGCTTTCCTCAACTGATCTCAGGAGTTTCATTGTTAATTATACAAATTAACTTACGAACTCGGCTAGGAGTTCACTGAAACCAACAATAATTTCCGAACATTCCTTCAAGATTTTCATATTGTCACCAACCCATGCAGTTAACCATGTGCGTATTTCCCCCCCCAGACTGGGAATTGCTGGATATAGACCAACTCCCCAACCACGAAGTCGCTGCCCTATATACCACTCGTCCCAAGATGTGCCGGAATCATGCATGTTCGAATAGCAGATTCGCGTTGCTCCACGATGTCGACTCAGTCACATGTTCCTATGGATTTCCAGAGTTCGCAGATTCGTTGAGGAAACTCGAGACACTGCAAGATTTCAAGATAGGGTATATAATTTGCGTGGCAGATCGTGGTGGTTATTTATATCACACTTGCGTTGCAATGCTACTATCACGGGCCGGGGCGCTGAAGAGGTGAGGGTCACATCGTCCCCGCATTCATCACGAGTATTCATAGGTTCTCGGCCGCGCCTGCCTACAACTTGACAGCACAGCGATTCAAAAGCTACTACGATGATTTCAAGGACCGCCTCAAGCCGGGGAAGTACACCCAAGGTCGCTGCCCTCAGAGTGAAGGTGATTATCGCCAGGAGTCCAAGACTATCGGGAGGTGAGTACTTGCCTCTGGCAATCCGGTCGATTGTGATATCCCTTCAGAGAGCATCTCAACGATGATGGTACTCGCAGTAAGAGGTACACCGTCAAGGAAGGTGAGCGAAGCACATTGAAAGCCTTTAGAAGTTTTTGTACCCTCAGCTGATGCCCTCGGTTACCATTACCACCCACCGATCGATAAAAAGGGTCAGGTGTACGTAAAGGGGCCTAACACGGTCCATGAAAGAGGTCAGACTTGGATCAAAGGCTACGAACTGCCCAGCATGGAGTAAGATTGTGTCATTAATACCGTTAAAGCCCGAACTTTCCAACGATTGCATGAGTACCTGTTGTACTCTAGATATACTTATGGTCCCAAGCAGGAGGACATCCCTTTCTACCCTAGGGTCAAATTGAACGTCTGGGGTAAGGCTTTGCCGATACCTATCACTGGCGCACTCTACGCTCAGGCAACTACAACCTCGTTATGAAGGTGGAGTTCTTGTTCTTCTATTTGCCCACTATCATAGTCTTTGGGATTTGCATTCCTGTTTATACCATCAATTTCGCACAGGAGGAAGTCATTTACACGACAATGACCGTTAAGGTCACTGGGAGGCAATGGTAAGCGAGCTCTGGCTTAGTATGTCGACCTTCGTGATGATCAATGGCTCAAGGTATTGGGTATACGAAGTCGAGTCCCCAACCGACGAGGAAGAGGAGGACGAAGATGACGAGGATGATGACGATGAGTGATGGAGAAGGCAGTCTTAGTGGTTGCTGTCGTTATTGAACATCTTGAGGCGCGAGCCCATGAAAATCATGATGATCTTGATGATTTTGCTTTTGTGAATGATAGCGGTTTGTTGAACATTTCGAGCTGATACCATTCACATTGTCGTAGACAGGTTGAGGTTATTTTTCGATTTGCAGTATTGCGTTGTAGTTGTTGAGGAGAAGGAATTCGACGAAAGTATGTTATCTCTCTTGGGAGTAGCAGTCATGTAACGAGGTGTGTCGATAAGTATTTGTAAAGCTAACTATACTAAGTTATCATGAAGAGATCAGTGACGTTGAATACTCTGGAACCTACAAGGGGTACTAATGACACTCCTATGGACGACAGTCATTATTGATCGACCGTAGTGACCATCACCACAAGTAAGGTAACAACTATGGGATCCGTTACGGACTGTCCGTACCGCTAAGAGCATGTGCTTCTCGGGAGCTCGTCATCAAGCGATGGTCATTCCCCTCGAGGTACCCGAGTTACTGAGTTATGCCTGTTATATCTTAAACACTGCCTGTTATATCTTAAACACTGCCTGTTATATCTTGAACACTGCCTGTTATATCTTCAACACTGCCTGTTATATCTTCAACACTGCCTGTTATATCTTCAACACTGCCTGTTATATCTTCAACACTGCCTGTTATATCTTCAACACTGCCTGTTATATCTTCAACACTGCCTGTTATATGTTCAACACTGCCTGTTATATCTTCAACACTGCCTGTTATATCTTCAACACTGCCTGTTATATCTTCAACACTGCCTGTTATATCTTCAACACTGCCTGTTATATCTTCAACACTGCCTGTTATATCTTCAACACTGCCTGTTATATCTTCAACACTGCCTGTTATTTCTTCAACACTGCCTGTTATTTCTTCAACACTGCCTGTTATATCTCAATTCACCCATTAACCGGAAGTGACTTGGATTCATTAGTCTATCAACACAACATTTTAACTATTCCCAACAAGGAAGGAAAAGTAACGCTAAGCGCAGCGCACTGAGCAGTCAGAAATGCGCCTAATCGACGCGAATAAGAGATTCTCCGCTCGAGCGAGAGGATCTCCACTGAATAGCTTAAAAGTGAGTTAGCCAAGGTTAGAATGTCACTGTTAGAATCTACAGTTCTTTCTCAGGGTTTGACAGTGCAGCATTACGAATAGCATCAGCCTGCTTCTGAGTTTCCTCATACCTCTTTCTTAGAGCAGCGAACTGCTCAGGAGTAGCCTCGAAATCTTGGAAACCAGCGGCACGCAACCACTCAGCAGACGGGCCATAACCGACCATAGAATAGCCCCAATTAGTGTAACCATTTTGATACTTTCCAAGTAACGTATAATGCATATTCATCCACTCACGTTGAATCTCATCGTCATAGTCCGCCATCTTCTTCTCGATATCATCAGAGGACTCGGTGAGCATCATCTCGTCAATCTTACTCTCGATACCAAACTGAGCCTTCCTAACATCATTGACCATATACATATACTTCAAATCCATCACATTAGCAACAGTCTCAGCAGCCCACCAAAGAGAACTGTCATTCACCTCCCCTTGCCAGGAGTATTCGAGACAAGGAATAGACTTCACAGTTTGGCTGGGCTTAACGATAATCGGCACGAAAACACTCCCATGAGGGGACGACGGCGCAAAGTAAACCACGTTGTACTTGTTCTTATAAGTTACAGCTATGAAGCCATAGTATGAGTGCTCCTCAGAGATAGCCCTTTCCCAAGCACCGTGTTTGAAGGTCGCCTCAGCCCTGCCACCAGGATATCTCACTGGCGTCTTGAAGGGACCACCAGCAACAACATGGTCTGTCAAGTCATAGGGAGTACCCTCCATATGGTCTCGGTACAACCGACGCATGAAGTCAATTGTGATAGGCTCATCGGGCTTCACAGAGAAGGGGTAGGTAGGATGTTCCCATTCAACACCGAGAGTAGGGTCCAGATTAAGAGATGGGGCGAAAAGAGAAAGACCTCTCCAAATACGTCGACCGGAAACATAAGGATGACCCTGCTCACCCGCGCCGAAGGCATAAGCGAAATCAAGCAGACCAGCACCATTCCACCAACCGTACCTTAGTGCGATTTCATACATGTTGGTCGAGTATAAGAAATTATCGCCATCGACAGGATCGATATCACGAATGATGAAAGTGTTCGGCACGATGGTGGCGTGACCCTTAGGAACTCTCTGGGCTGCCCAAACCGCGCTCGTAGTTGTATCGTCAGGAGTTACATGGAAAACCCAAACCTCCTCACCATCAGCCACCACGAGGGCCTCACCAGAGCCGTAGTAACCATATTTCTCAGCATAGTCACCCATAGTCTGCACGGCACACCTTGCAGTGTCACAAAGCTCAAGTCCAATATCAGATAGCTCGCCAATCCAAAACATTGCACCTTTACCCTCGGGACCGTCACCACGTGGGAAAGACTCCATACGAGCACTGCAAGTACTCTCGCCCATAGAGACGCCAGCCTCGTTCATGATACCATAAGAGGAGTCCCAGTACCCGTAAGTGGTACCCTCCGGCATGTCGACGTACCCGGTGGGAACACTGGGTTGCTGGTCACCAACAGGAGCATAACTGGGAGCTCTCGAAGCGTCAACAATCCTGGGATATGCCAAGGCAAAAGCACCAGGGATCTCGTTTATGTAGACCGCTCTCTGCTGGCCGGCACCATAGGTCTTAGGAGGCACATAGACCACTCTGAAGTCCAACGGTCCGCCATCAGCCGTACTAGCGGCGATACAACCACCGTCAGCCGTGGCTGCACAATCGACTGCTGTTGCTGTACATTGACCGTCGGTGGCGAAGTGCTGCCGAGCTCCACTCTGAGGAGCGATTTCGGCGGCCAGAACGAGACTGCTGGAAGCTAGCAAGGCGAGTGAAAGCGATAGCATTTTGAGGGATGAAAAAAACTAGATATGATTATCGACCAAAGTGTAAACTAGTCAAAAGCGAGCCGATGGTTCAATATGCAATTGATGAGAACGTCAATACGATTCTCAGCTTGCTGACGCTGGGCTAAGGAATCTGCGTCCAAGCGAGGCTAGCTCTGTCCCCAAGTGAATAACTCAAGAAAACCCATACCACAGGCATTGTCCCTGACTATGAAAATGTCCTGAAATCGCGAACTTCTCATAGAGGGAATCGCCACGAATGCGATACCGCCTGCCATATTCGCAATGGTTCTAACTCGCGACTGTGCAGCCACCGGCTATTGCTGAGGCACTTGCTGTCGTTTGCGGAGTGTTATCCTTGAGAGCGGACCCAAACGGCCGAATTGTGGCTGCTGCAAACTATCGAGGCGAGTGATAGCAACAGACTTGTGCGGAGCAGCTGTTCGTTTCGAGCTGAGAATGATTCTCTGGTGGTTGCCCTGGAGGGCTATTCACACTGAGGCGTCTTTTGAAGACAATAGACAACGGTTAAGCTACAGCAAGTACATATGCCTGATACACCGAGCAACTAATGCGCAATACTTTCAGATGGCGATCGAAACATGATGCAACACTGTGAAACATGAATGTTCACAAGGCCGTGTGTGCACTCACTGGCCTCCGAACCAGAGAGGCCCCGCTCATCCTGTTGCCCTCGTTCATCACCTAACACGGTAGCCGATGTTCACAAGGTTGTTCACAGCCAAATTGTTCATACCAAGCGTTGGCCTGCACTCCTAGGTCTGAGCCTTTTCTGGTGCGTATGAGAGCTCTGGAAGCAGGGATCTCCACGCGACGCGTGCAACACAGGACGGTAGAATTCGGACAATTGAGCGTCAGACTCCGTGGCCGCTAAGGGCCGGATGTATCTGCTCATTATTCCATACCCTTATTAAAGTACGCGTACGAGAATTGATTGTGTCCCCCTGAGGGCTTGAATTGACCACCGTTGGACTTGATCGTGCTCGGATCGGCATAAAGCCCTTGATCGGACACACAGGCCGGGGCCCAGGCTGAATCAGGCAGGCGTGCTCCGCGTTGGACAAGACACCTTTACCGGGCACTCGGAATACATAGTGGGGTTGCCTTGCAGATGTGAGTTTCTCACAAACAGATCTCTCCTTGAATGTGCGAGGAACGGCGTCGGCCGCTTTCCAACCAGGCTTGGGTTTCTGTGCAGTGCGTTCGCGTGCCTGAACATTCTATCTGCCAGAAATAAGCGTTCACTAACCGCACCTCTCGCAACTCGAGTTTCTTTCTATCATCTCTGGCAAAACTGACTGCCGAATTAGGTCTGGTCAGGCGACCGATATCGGGACGGTGAAGTTTACTGTATCCGAACGATGGTACGGGGGATATTCCGTGGAGGCGCATCGACACTAAAGGAGGGCGTGATGCCCAGTGAATATATGTTCGCTCTCCTCAGCTGAGCTCAGGAGTTTCCTATGCAGTGTTAGAGGAATATATGTTCGCTTTCCTCAGCTGAGCTCAGGTGTTTCCTATACAGTGTTAGAGGAATATATGTTCGCTTTCCTCAGCTGAGCTCAGGAGTTTCCTATACAGTGTTAGAGGAATATATGTTCGCTTTCCTCAGCTGAGCTCAGGAGTTTCCTATACAGTGTTAGAGGAATATATGTTCGCTTTCCTCAGCTGAGCTCAGGAGTTTCCTTGCTAATTGCAGGAGTCTATTTACAAATTCAGGGAGAAGTGTACTGAGGTTGATAAGGACCACTCGGAGTTTCCTCAGAATTTTCGTATTGTCACCAACACATGTAGTTGACCATGTGCATATTTCCCCACAGTGTTGATGCCAATCTTCTCTCCAAGAGTGACAATTTGCAGAGATTTTCCACTGCCGAGAAAGGCCACAGTGCTGAATATAATAAAAGAAGAAAGTATGGTGTCGCGAGGTAAACTTTCGTAGGTAGAACAACTGACCTGCCTCGTTCAAAATCCGTGGCGGTACAGTGTCTTTCAACCATACGTGGTTAGCAGATGTCCTTCTGTTGCGATCGACACAGTGACCGTTGGGGACGTTTTCGGAGTGCGAAGGTTGACTGATGTCCGCTTGTGGAGTGCCTCCACAGTAAATCAATGCGGATACCATGTACTGCTCTCGGTTCTGATATGACCAATCGAGTCGTCGCGGCTTACCAGGGTACTTCACTTTGTCGTTCGGAAGATCCCCAATTTCCGGTATAGTCTGAGAGTAAAGCTGTCGCTTCCTTAGCAGCCATTCATAAGGCCGACCTTGATCGAGTACGAAAGGGACATTATGTCGTGGCCGCCATATTGCGCCGATAATCGATCCAATTCACGAACGAGCTCAAATCGATCACCTGATCGATTTGTCCTAAAGCGATGACTGCTCGATCATTCAGAGATTAGGCTGAGGTTAAACGTCATTGTTAACGGCGACAATCGTTGATGACTCTTCCCAGTGTTGCGCTCGTACGGATATGTTCCTGCTAGAAGCGTATCAATCGGAGAGAAAATTCATGAAGAGCTCGTTATGTCTGGCCGAGAGTCTCTTCAGTGTCTTCTCGGTCCTCTTGAGTTCTAATACCTCACTGTCTAGGAAGTCGATGATGATTTTCAAAAATTTAGACAAGCATATGCCTGATATGTTTTGATGAATTCTTTGACACTTCTGAGATCAACTGCGTATTCACCCATATTACCGATTTCCTAGGCTCCTCGTGCCTTAGAGATTAAATGGCCTTGGGTGTAGATTAACGAGAGACCATAAGCTCGTGGTCGGCCCATTGGTGCTGATTGCGTTTCGCAGGTCTCCAACAGACCTCGAATGAAATTCCGATGATGACTTTACGGAAATCCAACACTGAATTCTCGTGTTGAGTAAATCCAACGAGCTTTTTAACCCTGAGGAAAAAGACGATTCCTTCGAAAATCGCATTTCTTTGAGATTCTAACAACATGTAGTGAGCATCATAGTATACTTCATGCGTTAGCGATTCTCTCGTGGTAGTCTCTAGTCGGTCCCAATCTCTGCGAATGTCAGCATTCCAATCCAGTGGGGTAAAATTTGTACATGATCAACCACAAGTGTTAGTGATAATAGCGAAATTCTAACGAAATTTCAAATTTTGGAAAATTTCTGTTAGTTTCTGTTCACTTCTCGTATATATTCTCTCGATTCGTATATGAACTCCTATGATTGATGAGGAAACTATCGAGCTCAACTGAGGAAGGCGAACATATCAGCTGTTGGTAGTTGCAAGACTGGTGGCAAAATTATGTTGTCGTAGCACTGTGGAGACGAGACCAATACGAGTGTTACGTTACTTATACGCTTGTGTCAAAATAGATGGTGAATGACGGGCTGAGGTTGATCGATTTCCTGAGAAAAGCTACACTATCTGTGAGTAAAGAAGTGCATAGTCGTGGCGAAGACTAATATATAGTCACTGAGGATTTTCCACACTCACAATTCACCTCAGAACTTCGTAGTGTTTTACGATGATGAACCTCCCCACTCGTAAACAATCTTAACATGTGCGGTGATTCACGTCAGCTTGTGAAGACTTGAACGGACATCTGAACGTGAAACTCGATAAGACTTCGTGTTTCCGTATCAATCGCCTCTCATGCACATGTGTCGGGCATCTATGATCAGTGTGGGAATATATATGTTTGCTTTCCTCAACTGAGCTTAGAAGTTTCCTCACTAATTATAGAAGTTCATATACGAATCCGAGTAGAAAATTGGAAAGTAGTTGAGTATTTCCCGAAATTTCCTCATTTTGAAACCAACATATGTAGTTGATAATGTGCATATTCTACCACACTGTCCATGATCATCTTGATAGTGTTCGTTGTCGTAATCATTCACTGAGTGTAACAAGGATCTCCACACCACTTGTGCTAACGAGGAAGGTTGACAAAAGTTAGAGTTGACGAAGAGCTACTACCCGCAGTGTGACTGTCACTTGAAGTTTCGCCCTAGTGTCACCACCTCAATTGATCACAATCAGGGGTCATCATAACGGTGTCGTCGATGTGCGCCCTGTGTCACCAATTTGGGTGGGGCTCCCTAACCGTTTCTCCTGGTGGAGGCCGAATCAACAACGAAGTTATCTTCCGTTTCACTTCACCTTGAAAGCCTAATCTCTATTGCGTTATCAGCTAGCAGTTGTTGTCTTTCTAGTGAGATCAGTCTTGGGAGCTCCTTGGTTGCGTTTCCCTTTTCACCTTATGTCGGCAGTATCTACGAATGACAAGGCCACAGTATTGACGCTCAAGAAACGTCTTTCTGAGCCTGATAGAGACCTTATGGCTATCATTGATTCGCTCAGTTCTATCAACATGGACAAGCAGCTCTTGAAAGAGACTATGATTGGTAGTGTTAAGGCTTTACCATTATATGGCGCTTCAATCGAGGGAGGTTGTTTCTGTGTATTACACTCTACGTTGACTCTAGTAATTCGACAGTATTATCAAGAAACGATAGTCTCTTCGTAATGCCGTCATGTGTCTTATATGGCAATCTGCCTTATCGGCTAGTTTTAGAGCGAATTAGAATCGGGAGAAGTGTATTTTGATGATCAGCCTGGGATGATTGTGGTATCAGGTAAAGCCTTGAACAAAGCGGCCAATGCTGATGAGACAACACCACGGGCCAAGAAGGCCGCAAAGAACCTCATGGGGGCTTGGAAGAAGAAGATTGATTATAAGCCTTCATCAGGTGACCATTTCACGGGGTAGTTCTCTTGGAGAAATATGGGCAATCTGACGGGCGAATAATTTAGTCTAGAAACTCTCAATGCGTCAGGCCATCATCACTCTCATCCGAAATCGGTCTCTAGTGCGGAGTCTGCGATGGAGAACTCGTCGAAGCCAGTGAATGGTCAACCTACTGCTGATGCCTCGACAACTGATGGCAGCTGCAGCAGTAGCAGTGGAAATACTGATCTCACGTCTGTCATGGAAGTAGCAAGATGCGGTGATCCGAAGAGAGACAAGGTCATACTACCGGGTGGACCGTGGTCGAGTGCTCCCAGTACTGCAATGTTAGCGTAGGATTCCTAGTAGATAATTGAACTTAACGATTGACCTGTCGCTGATGGTTAGTCAGCATCCATGACCACAGACTATTCTCTAGTTGACACTAGCCCGTGTTAGATTCGCAATCTTCTATTCAAAGCACTGAGGCCTAGACGGAATCCAGAAGAGGCTGAACCCGCCGTCAGGGCTGTAGAGATTGAGGAAGAGTGTCATTCAAAGCTGTCAGAAAGGGAGTACGGCGCCTTGAAATGCAAGTTCTCACAGTGGGTAAATCCTTAGGTACTTGTCGCAAATACGAAGCATCAAATACAACTTGACGGACTCCTCGAACCCTGATTTTCAATGGAAGGTGGTGGACTAGCAGGTGTACTATTTAGGAGCGACTGCTGCCTTCAGGTGCTTGTAGGATTATTTCCTCGTGATAAGTACTCTACCCTGACTTCAGAAGACATGGCATCAGAGGCTAAGAACCAGGTGAGTCAACTTGGGTCACCTATCTAGAGGACAGTCGTCAAAATTCATCGTATCAGCATCGTGCCAATGCAGCCAAAGCTGCTCTGGAGGAATGTCAGTCCGATTGGGCTATGCGTCATGGTGCGATACAGAAGAGTGGCATGTTCCAGTGTGGAAAATGCAGGAAGAGTCAGACGACGTGAGCTAACTCTGCCGTCTGATATGTATGATTTTCACTATCTAGATACTTTCAAATGCAGACTCGTTCTTCTGATGAGCCAATGACTACGTTCGTTACCTGTTTGAACTGCGGCAACAAGTGGAAGTTCTGCTAACAATGCTACTATTACGATGGCGGACCACTCCTTTGCTCTGCTAGTGATGCCACCACCCGCAATGTCATATTGTTCCTTACGCATCCTGCTGAGAATGAATTGTGTTTTCGTGAGAATATTCCTGGGGCCTCCCTCGTGGGGTAAAGCCGTCGGAAAATCCTGTCGAAGATCTGATACGACTGGTCTTGGGTGTCGACAGGGGGACGAGAGAGACTTGTTGTTCGTGAGTATAAGCTGTATCCGTCCCTGGTCGTTCATTAGGCGCTGAGCATCTGAGATGCTGCATCTCCCATGATGTGACCCTGCATTTCCGTGAAATGTAGGATATGAAAATCCTAAAATTACCGAAACGAATTGTGTTTTCGTGAAAACATTCCTGGGGCCTCCCTCGTGGGGTAAAGCCGTCGGAAAATCCTGTCGAAGATCTGATACGACTGGTCTTGGGTGTCGACAGGGGGACGAGAGAGACTTGTTGTTCGTGAGTATAAGCTGTATCCGTCCCTGGTCGTTCATTAGGCGCTGAGCATCTGAGATGCTGCATCTCCCATGATGTGACCCTGCATTTCCGTGAAATGTAGGATATGAAAATCCTAAAATTACCGAAACGACACCTGAGGGATTCGAACCCTCGCGGGCAGAGCCCAACGGCTTAGCAGGCCGCCGCCTTAACCACTCGGCCAAAGTGTCATCTACTGAAAGTATAGTTTACGGAGAGGTGAGCTGTCCATCTCATCACCATGATAATATACAACGTCCACGGCCGACGTCAGGCGAACCGGGGAGAGCTGAAATGATGCCTCAAGTTTGTATCACAATTTGCAATGCAGCAAACGCACCATAGAGATCGCAGGACGCAGCAAAGCGTTCGCACTTCTCACAACACAACACATTTCTCCTTTCGGCCGCTCAACGGAAGATACAATTCTGCTCTAAAAGCCAACGAAAAACTTCAATGCTTGAGTTCACGTCGGACTCCGCATCCAAACAATGTGCCCTCCCACTCAGTGATGATCGTGGGTGGCTCGAGGGTGCAGCACCATTGACGTGTCCATGACGAATCGCAAATCTGACGCGGCGCACGAGACATAAGAAATCAGCTCATGGTGAGTTCATCTCCTCGTACTGGTGTAAGGATGAGACATCCATGACAGCGTTCTGATGCAACCAGTCGGCTACCTTCGACAGATGCGTCTGCAACAGTCCGCGATATGCATGAGCTCTGATCGAAGACATATACTCGCATGAGCTCACTACTTCCTGTGCCGACCCAAGGGATATGAACAGAGTCCAAACTATGCCTACCTGTAACCCGCCAAGAGGCAGTATCGCCGTGGGCACTCTTTCTTCAACACCTCCAACATAGCGTCTGCGGAAGCATCGTACGACATGGTGGATTTACTACACTCGAAGTACCTGGAATCACGACGCGTACTACGGGGAACGGTGACTAGAGTAAGCACTCACAGGCCTCCAGCTGAGTACGCATTTTTCTGTTTCAGTCTGGCCAGGAGAGCATCACCACAACTTGCATCGAGCCTAACAAGGATGTCGCTGATATGACCCGTGACAGATTCGGACAAGACAATCCGCGGAGGCCTCGACACATGCCATAAGTATCAGTCGACAGATGGAACTAATCCGCCAAATCCAAAATTGACAATCCATGTAATAATCAACTATAACATGGATTATCAAATTTGACAATTTTGACAGCGATTGATCCTAATAGTTCGGAACCATAAGATTCGCGAAGAATGAACCCGAGTTGGTACCATACCCAACGCTCGCGCGACGGAAACTCGATCCCGATCGGTCGAAGTCATTCACCATCGATACTTAGCTCAACCCCATTTACTTCTTCGTGGAATATTCCACAACATATCGGTTCTCGCTGATGATCTGCGTTGCCTCTGCATCAGTAATCCTCATATAGACTTCTAAAACTGGTGGAATCTGTCCCGACCTCTCCGGAGGGGCGGTGACCATTGATATCCAAACCTGAGCGTCAGCAATAGGGATCCAACCCATCGACAAATCTTCGCATCACGTAAATACAGTGTGTGGCAGTTTGATATGCAAATGTGTGTTATTTTTCCCGAGATTAAACTATATCGCATATACAATAAAACAATGGCTATGAACATATGTTGTGATGAAAGTACCCGTTCGGGACTGTGATGATAGCGACAGCTTGTTCACTATAATTTGTCCTACAAAATAACACACATTTGCATATCAAATTCATACGCACCGTATGCGTGTCATCGAGTAGGAGTGATCTCTACAGCACTACCCACCAGACGGAGCATCTTATCTCTCAACGCCTTGAGCTCCCTAGGTGATTCATTTCTGCTGTTAGTGAGGTCCCAATCAGCTGACAACTCCTCGCTGAGTACCCGAGTGATGTCCATCGTCTGGTTCCAGATCGATAGATGCAGTGGCGTGCCTAAAGGTTGAGACTTTCATGTTAAGTCTCAGCAGTGTTGGGAAATATGATCGCTTTCCTCAACTGAGCTCAGAAAATAATATATGTAAATTCAGCTTGAAACGTACAAGAATCTCCGGAAATTTCCTAAAAAATTTTATTTCGTCACCAACGCTGTGTGTGAGTGACGTGTACAATGACAATGCTCACATTTGTCCCCTTTCCGCTGAGCGTTTACGCTGAAATTAAATTCGTTACATAGGAGGCGGATCAACCTGAATGCAAGTCTTGACCAGCCAGAATAAGGAGTTCAGCCTAGCCCACATGGAGTTCCGAGCCGACACTGCCAAGTGCAGCAGAGTGTTGTGTTTGCTATCAACAGGGTCGGACCACGTAGTTAAATCATCAGGAGATATCTCATCTTTGATAAGCGACAGAATCTGATAATGCTGTTATACAATACATCAAATTTCTGCTGCTAGCACCTGTCTAGCTGCACCTTCGTCATTTTCTTCTAGCAGAGAGCGAACCTTTGAAGATATGTCATCACTTCTCGACCGTTTTTGTGGGCGCCTCGACGACGGGGACATTCGAGCTCTATTATACCTATCCCGACAGGATTGAGAGTATACTCATTGACGGGATGCCCTCTCAAGTCCGACGCGATGACCCTCCACAGTCCTTCCTATTGCACAATATCCTACAAGCTGTGCTAAAGTCTAGGCTGGCTACTATGCTATGCTAATATAATGATACAAGTGATGATGAGGTGTTCAATGTATTGTATGTGACAATATTGTTTTCATACTATCAACTCCCACTCGTATTATTAATAATAATATGTCTCTATCTTCAAGGCTTGATGTTGAGATGGATAATGGAGAGTCTAGATCTACCACACAACGAATAGATACAAGGTGATAGAATATCATTATAATATAGAGACATTTAATATGATATAACATCCTGCTAACATGGTTACCGATATAAGGTATATGATATTAGGAAAAATATATGATTAAAATAACAATATAATATTTATATCCTCATTAATTTCCTCTTCTTCGGACGACATCGTTGAACTCAAACCCTTGAAATTGGTAAGTCTGTCTTAATTCGATCAATAGTAGACGACTAACGGCACATTATTAATAATCGGTATCATCATTCAAGGTTAATAACTATATATATCATATATTGTATAATAATTATACGTATATTAACATATTGATTTATCTCTAATGATCTAAGAGGATCACACTAGAGGAACTCAACGCGAGATATGCTATTGACGATTTAGGATAAAAAATCCAAAATTACATTCACCGGGGCATGAGTAGATGACGCAGTGAGTATGTATTGTTAAAATAATCGTTCTATGATAGCGGAATAATTTACACAGCCAGGACGATTATGCTAAAATCACTATTGAGAATTCCGTGGGAATGAAATCATCAGATACCATCTCAGCCGCATACCAACACACACTGATGTTATCATCGAGTATGCAACCTGACAGACTCCATGCGCTGAGTTCCTTTTGTCCGTCCATCACGATTTTGGAAAACACGCCCCTGTTTTAGGCAAACCTTTATTCCTCAGTACCTCTCTCGAGAAGACCCTTCAACGAAATAGGAACCACTGCCCTAATCGTACCGCAGACTAATGTTGCAACAACACCTTTCGCGAGCTAACAACACAGGCGGTAGCTACTGAAAATACCGCTAAGATGTATAAGATATCAATCCAGATGACGTGGTGAGTTTGGAAAAATCATTCACGCCTCACTAGCCCCCAATACGGCGCACCATCCTTGATGAACATCTCCTTCAACTAGATAGATCGTGGCACCTCCCGAGTTGGTTCTGTCAAGTAAAGCCCCTACGAAATAGTCTTGTTACCCCTTCTTCTACGTCACAGGTGATCGTGCTTATGCCAACCCTATCAGGGACACACCGAAAAGGTGCTGCGAGCACTCAGATCTGCGGTAACGCAGGATCATAATCGATCACTCGGGCGCTCGCGACTGCTTCTAGTGTTGTGTGGTACAACACTAGAAGCAGTCGCAAGAAGTCGTAGAAGCAGTCGCAGGCACAACTTGTGCCCGTGGCTAGACCATTGTGCCACATTGCTTCCTTGCCCCTAATTTTCGGTCCGAACACAATTGTTCCTGTGTGCCAAGGTGCTGCAAAGCTAGAGCTAGTTGTAGCTCATACGTAGTTCGTAATCATAATTGTAACGTAACCGTTACGTTACGTAACGTATCTATTGTACGTCCGCTCTCGTACAAGGTTATATCTGTTGACTTGTCGTGTATTGAGTTCTATTATTAGGAGATTACTATCCTTAGAGTAGATCCGTATCATTCGCAGACGATTCGAGATCTTCTGGAGTCCATGGTTCCACTCACGTTCACGCAGCCCTGCAAGACCTACAGAAGTGGTAACTGGTGTTTCTTATGCTCAGTGCTGCAAAAAAAGTTCGCTCTCCTCACCTGAGCTCAATATTTCCCTCACATTTTATACACGAAATTGGGAGGATATATACCATAAATTTACAGAGAGTAGCAAAGATTTTCAAAATTTTTCTTCAGATTTTTTCATATTGTCACGAACACCTGTGATTGACCATGCACCAATTTTATGACACTGTTTAT